TTTGCATAGGGCTTATCTCTGGGGAGAATTAGTATAAAGGGGGGAGACGAGGGGAAAGCAATATGGGAAAATGGGAAAGGGGGCGTGGTCCAGGCAGCAGGAGCCAAAGAAACAACCGTCGATTGTCGCATCGCCTGTCGCACCTGCTCCTTTATACCGGGAGAAAAAATTTGAATTTAAAATACAAGAAAAATAAATTGATAACAAATTAACTTTGAAATAAATTAATGAAACGTAATCAATGCTTAAATTTTAAAATGGAGTTTAATAACATAAATAGAAGAAATTTCTGTTTGAATTTATGAACTTTTCTTTTTGTATTTCACCAAACTTAAGGGATAGTACCTACGTTATATAAGCCTTAATTATATTTCTAGGTAAAAAATCTAATAATCATTCATCTATTTCCCGAAAAGATAATACCTATGCTATCTTAGCTTAAGTGATATTTCCAGGTATAAAGAAATCTATTTGCCGAAAAGATCATATTTCTTTCAATGGATTTTTGGCTAAGCGTATATGGTGCGTGAGCCGGGACTCCATCCCTCAGGAGTGGCTTTCGCTTTGGCCTGGCAAAAATGGAAATTTGCTACCGCTTATTTATTTTTTCCGAGCCATACCCCTCTCCCCCCCTGGCTGCCTCCCCGATTTCCACCTGCTTCCATCGCCCAACTCCCTGTGCAAACGAAGCATGAACCGGGAGCGTAATTCAAGCGGAAAATTGTCGCGCAACGTCGCGTCGTCTTGCCATCTCTCCTGCGTTTATCGTCCTGCGCCCCATGCCCCGGCTCGTCCTCAGGACCGTGGGAATTCCCAGGACCTTACACAGTGCAGCGAGCTATGTAAACGGCACACGGCTCTCTGCGAGTTAACAATGTTTTTAGCCAGGTTTTGTTGCTACTGCCGGCGCTGACATCGCCGTAGATGTTCTCGTTGTTAATATTCTCGGCTGGCACACCGCTTGAAATTGACGCACATTAGAGCTGATGGAAGTGGACCCTACGACTTTGGGTCACGGGATATCCAGGATGTACAGCCTGACCAGGGTCCAGGGTTCCGACCAATCGGAATGTTTGATCAGGCATTGCATTTGGCTCATCATTTCCATCGGCACAAGAACCAGAGAGGCATCGGTATCGCAATTGAAAGCCGCGCCCTTTAAGCACACTGAGCGAAAATTAATGATTAGGGGACTCTATATTTGTAATTCTTAATTATAGAATTACTTTATAAGTAGTTTTTAGCAGTCTTTATACATTTTTGTAAGTAGCTTAAAGTTAAATATGGGAACACGGAAGCATATTTTTCAGCTTAATTTGTCTAAAACTTTGCGAAATATTTCGATTTATTGAAAGAAAGTTTCTTTAGCTTTAGCGACTTTAAATTAAATTAATTTTCAGTGCATTTTCTCTGGGTTTTTGGTTGCCGTTTCAGCCGCAAATCGTGTTAGCCACGCCATTAGCAAAAGCTCGCAGGAAAACAGCCGCGCCAACAACGGCAGCGAGCGGATCAAGGAGCGGTCATGCAATCGGGCCAAGCTTCTGCTTCTAGTCCAGGTCCTGCTCCTGCTCCTGCTCCTGCCCTGGTGCCTGCTCCTGTTCCCAGCTCCTCCTCTAATGTGCGCGCTTCAATGGCCGTAAACCAATTCAAAAGCATATTTGCAAGCACTGATGGACCGTGGACCGCAGCTGAAGGGGAATAGAGAGGATTTGGGCCACCATCACTGGGTGATGTACAATAGACAAGGGCCTTGAAATATAATATTTAGACCGACTGCGAGTGAGTTGAGCCCTTGGCTTTGTGTCTGGCCAAAATCACTTGAAATCGACCTCAGGCAATGCACTCAGGCAAAAGTAAAGTCCCAAGTCTCCTTTGGTTTTAGTTGAATTTGGCGCGGCAATTCTAAGCTTTTGCCAGTGTAGATTGTTGGTAATCTCGGGCTAAGGAGCGTCAACTGATAGCTGGCCTATGTCACCGATGAAGATGCCAGAGTGCCAATGCCAATGCCGATACCGATGCCTTTGCCCCTTCGTTTGCACCATGTGCGAGCCATAACAATGTGGAAAATTGTTTCCTGTATCAATTTCACACATTAAGGAAGCAATTCGATTTTATCGCTTCCTCATGACTACACGTTCAATTATTGAAGAGTTTACGTTTTGCCATCGGCATTCCCGCCCCCGAGTTCCCCCACCTCGAAGTCAGAGTCGTAAGTAGTCGCTGTGTCGGCCTCTTTTGCCAAAAAAAGCATTTTGCATACATTTGCCAGAGACAGAGGGAGAGACTCTATGTGCGTGTGTGCTTTTGCACCCGGTTTAGGAGGTAATTCTTTTCAATTGTTGTCTTACAGGGCGTTTTACAAGCCATTTTCTGTTTGGGCCTGCTTTGTGTGTTCTTTGTGCTGTAGAGTGGCATTGGTTTCTATGTGATCTCTGAATGGGTGTGCATTTCGTTGGCTTGATTAACTTGTTTGTGTTTGGTTTTTATATGGCATTTTGGCTCAAGGTGAAAAGTGCTCGGATTTGTCAGAAGAAGTTGTGTTGAATGGAATGAAGTCAGGAGTTGGTTAATGAAGAACTGACAAAAAAGCTTATTCAACTACTCACACTATTGTTAACAATCAATTGGCAAAACATGTTTCAAAGTCTTTATACGATATTACCAAATCCAGGAGCATTTACCAAATGTGATTATAACGTTCAGAGGACAAGTTTGAATCAAAATTGAAATCTCTGCGTCGACAATGATATTTTAGGTGGCTGGGGAGCCCGACCTTGCCACCGAGTTCCGGCCTCTTTCAGGCCATTCAGTGCCATCCTGTGCTGTTTGCATATCAATTTGGGAATAAGCAACTCGCAGCTGACAGCGCCTGTGTCAACATCCACATCAACATCAACATCATCCAGCATCCAGCATCCAGCAGGAAGAAACAACTGCTTGGTATGCGCGACAGGCGGAGCGATGAGGTTGCCATTCGAATCCGGGCCACATACAAATGAGCTATTGTGGGTCACGTAGTCCTCAATGGGTCAACGGGTCACAACAGATTCGTTTCGCTTCGATATATGTATGTATATTGGCTCTTGGTAACTCCCGCCCCCGTCTGGCCCTGCCACATGTAATTAATAAACAATGGCCTTCACTGTCTCGCTGCTCGGCTCGGACTTTGGTCGAACACAAATTCAGCGAATTAGCGAAGAAATTAAAAAGTAATTTCTGCACAACAACAGGATTCGCAATTGCCAGTTGCGCATGCAAATGAGGAGAAAGATCCTTAAACGGCTGATGATGGCCTGACAGCGTTGCCAACTGCCAGACCGAAGCTGAAACTTTTAATTTGATTTGCAGTATTTTAATGGATTTTAATGAAACGCAAACAGGCGACGATTGCAGCACAAAATACAAAAAAATAAGCGAAAAATAAGGCAAAAAAATTGAAAAGGACACTCTGGCAGCGAAGGGGGCGGGAAAAAGAAACTTTGACAAATGCCAAAGCGCGAAAAATTCACTTCACTTTATTTTCGGTAACTTAGACTCAACTCAAGAACTTCCACTTGATAAGCGTCTGTCTGTGTCTCTCCCTTTCCGTTTCTTAATTGAAAATGTTTGAAATTCCATGCCGACTGTCGGCCTCGAAATAAGCACTACACTGAGCATAAAAATGGCTTGGAAAATTACATTTAAATGAAGGATAAATTTTTAGGAATACAAAATATATACTTTTGACTTTAAACATCAATATTAAAGAAAATGCATGGTTATTTGGTTCCTATCTTTTTATAAGAGGTAAAGATTTTTCTCTTAGTGTACGGAGTCCCCTAAAAATGTGAAAGGACAAATAATTCAAAATTAATTTCAATTAGGTTGACTTGCCGAATCATGAATATGACAGCTATGCGTCATAAGTCATGCATGTTTTCAAAAAGACAAAAAGTTGGCTAATTAAAATCCCATAAATTACGCATACGCCATGTGGCCGCTGAGAGCGCGAAATGGAGCGAAAACGCGAAAAGTTTGGCATTTTTGATCAAAAGTCCATGGGCCGTCTAATTTGATTAGCTCCCAGGGCCAGGGTCTCATTAGTAGGTCCCGGCCTTTGTCCTCTCCACTTTTGGGTGACCCCTCTTAGTTTTCGTCCTTTCTCCGTCTCGGCTTTTCATCTTTGCATCGCCCTTTTTCTGCTGTGTGTGTGTGTCCTGTGTATCCTATCTCTGGGACAGAACTCATGCAACATTTAGTGGCAACTAATTGCAGCAGCATTGAAATTAATTATTTAACCCTTTTTATTGTTTAAGCTCTCTCGGCTTTCGACTTTCGGCCCTCCGGAGCAGAGCCCGTTGCCTTTTCGGGTCCGCGCCTCATTAGCATAATTAATTGTGCAAATTTGCGTAGTTAAACAAGTTATTATTTCAAATTAAACGAGTACGTTTCATCACCGTCAAGAAGCCAAAATTGTCAGGGAATTTAATCATAATTTCTTTGAAATTACCCCGTGACTTCTTGTCAGTAACGAAAATAAAGGGAAATAAAGAGGTAACATAAAATATCACCAAGGGTATATAACTCTAGAAAAAATAAACCATAATGCACTTTAAAATTTAAAGTGGCATTTTGCACTTAATAAGCCAGGATGTAATGTAAACAAAATATTTTTTAAACTTACACCACAAACCATTTTTTGATTTCAAACTATTGCTGAATGACAGCTGTGAAATAGACGAGTTTTTCCGAAGGGGCTTAAAACTGATTTAATCCGTCGAGTGCCCACATTGTAAATATATTTTTCAACCAGCCTACTACCATTTACCAGGTGCCGCCCTTCAATTAAAACCGACACGGTGCAGTCGAGTTCCAAGCTGTCTGTTATAATACAGATTAGCGATTCGAACTTTGAATAAACGCATTGAAATCCATAAATTGAATTATTTATTTACCTTATTTATTTGAATTTTTCATGAACAGCAAGGAAACAAAAAACAAATGCGATGCAGTTCGCCTTTTGAAATATTTTACACAATTTAACGGCCATGCGCCAAAATGAAAAACTATAATAAATGCTCTTATATACATTATCGTTATTTGCTCTCGTTTATTATTATATTTATTTGCGTGTGAGTTTTTTATTCTTTACAACCGAAAGATGTGCGAATGAGTAGGTAAATTAATTTATACATTTATATTATATTATATACTATGCATGTTTGTTCATCACACACTCTGAGTTTTATTTTAATTGGATATACTGATTAACAAAAAGTGATTTCAGAAATGTCCAGGCCCCATTGCATTATCGGACTGCGGCATAATGGGATAAATACATATATGTTTTTTAGTCGGCTATCTGCGGCCAGATCGTTTTTTAGAGGGCTTTGACCCGGCGGATAATGTTTAGTGTCTATTTGTAGTCGCTCAGCTAACTGAAATGTTTACTGCTTTTTGCTAGGTTTTTGTCTGATTGTTTTTCATGTTGGCTTTAAATACACGCTGAGATATAGTGAATAGCTCTGTATATACATACATACGTATTTGGCTGAGTGTGGCTCTGGGACATGATTTATAGTAGTTGTTTGTCCTGTGTTTTGAATGTTTAAAATTGTATTTACAGCATATTTATGCTAGACTTAATTATAATGATTTTTACAGCATCTGCATTCTTGTTTTTCACTGATAAAATCGCATGTTATTTCCTTATTTTGGCTTGTATATATATTTTTATTGTTTTTCATACGTGTTATTTTTTCATACTTTCTACCACTTGCCATCGACATGGAGGGTGCACAGATATATTTGCTCGAAAAACTTTTCATGTGCAATACGAATGAAAATCAATTTATAAACAACAATCGAAAAAATCACCCCTATATGTACATATACATCGGAAATTCGTTTGGTTTGCTGTAGAATGACTTATTTTGGCTAGTATCAGTGTCAGGCAGGTAAAACAATTTTTCTGGCAGTTTTACTTCGATTCAATTTGGAGTGTATTTGTTTTTTCTTTGCTTGATAAACTAACCGACGTGAAAATATATTATTTTAAGTAAAAAATGACCTTAACAAAAAAATAACATTCATGTTTTGGTATATTAAATGTGTCACTTCATATAAAACTAAACGGTTGTCGCAGTGCATAAATATCAAAGAGTCAGAAAAAATACCATTGTCATAACTAACTCAGCAATGCAAACTTTTAATTTGAACTTGGGATATTAACAAATATTTAAACATTTTAACTGATTTAAAAATATGTATAACTTAGAGTTATTAACTTAAAGTTGTACTTTGATACCCATATAAATTGAATTTATACTAAATGTGTTTGTATGCTTAAATTTTACTATAGTTTTCATTGGAGCTTTCAAACTTTGTAACCTTTGGCACCTTTAAAGTTGCCACTATTCCATAAATCGTATTTACATTTGGCAACCAAAAGCTTCTCCTTATTGACTAGATCGCGGTCTTACCTTTATCTGTTCTCCTAACTAACTAACTAACTAGGTGACTAGCTGAATGACTAACTAACGTGATGATATAGTTGACAAAGTTGCCATACGCGGCGATTTCCCTTATGAATTCAGGGACTTTGCTTCGTCCTCCGATTCCAATTTCCTTATGAATGTCAGTGTTCATGAGGGGCGTTGGCAGAACTGCACGAGCAGGATTGCCGCCAGGATGACGGAAATTAGCGATGTCCTGTCGCCACCAATGCAAGTCCTTTGTGACGCTGCCGAGTCTTTAATTGTGGAGAGGTAAAGTAAACGAAAGGAAATGTCAGGTAGCTTAGTTAATTGCCTTGAAACTATAAACGAAGTTAAATTAAATTAAGATATTGAACAAATCTTAAACAAAAGAACTGCATTTAGAGTTGAAAATATATATTTATTCATGGGGTTATATTGTGGAGATAACTCACTTGTATTCGCATGTCTCAGTGGCATTTGGTTGTTGAAATTGTCGAATTGCGAGAGTGATGCACTGAGTGACGTCTCGCGCCTCAGTTCAGGATAATTCTCGATTTCCGCAACGCATTTGAGCTCCAGGATCTTGCCGGCCTGGAAGAAGCGCTGTCCTTGCAGGTAGAAGTGAACCTGCAGTCGCTGGCGGCGAAGGACATAGTCGTGGGCCGCTATGCTGGTGTCGATAGTGGGTTGCAGCTCGCCCATCAGAGGCTGGGAAAATATAAAAATGGAATTATTATTATTATTATTAGAATAATTTTGTATATTTTGTATTCCCATTAATATAATGCTTCTTATATATATTTGCTTACCTGTTCGCCATTGATGAACCAGGTGAGCCGCGTGGGCAGGCTGGAATAGTCCGAGGAGCAGGTGGCGCTCAGGAACTCTTCCATGCGGTACATTGAGTTGAAGCTCTCGATTAGCGGGTCGCTCTGCGGCAAAGCTATAAGTATTTTGAAGACAGCAATCAATGTGATTTATGCCTAAAGTTAGCCCAAGCGGATGCCCACCTGCCACCGTCATGTTGTCCGCTTTGTCGGCCAACTTGAAGTGCGGAGCATCGCCGCTGACCTCGCACTTGTAAAGGCCCGTTGATTTGGCTCCCTGCAAGCTCAGATCCAGCCTGCAGCTCGATTCATTGCACATGTACTTTCCGTCCAGGACTTGAAGTCCTGGCACCCCGAATGTCATGTAAATGGGACTCGCTAGCGGGGAATACCTAACAGAGAGTGAGGATTTTGCTGGTAAAAATAGCTTCTATAAAAGAGTATACACCTGGTGAAAGTACCTGAAGAACTCCTCGTGATCCTTGTACCACTTGACCGAGTTCAGTGTGTGTCCTCGCATATCGTAGCTGCAGGATAATGTGACATTGTCCCGGAAATCCACAATCTCCGGCACACTGATGTCCGTCACGAAAAGGGCGGAGGCGATGGGGTAATCTATAAAAAAGTTGTTCATAAAATGTGTAATTGTTATTGCTCAAGGATTTTTGAACCAAAAGATTAGTAACAGAAAACGTAAAAGTAATTATAATTTATTTTTTACTTAAATATTCGATTCTACTTTGCAAACAATTTGCAATTTGGAAAGTTCCCGAAACAGATTTTCTGCTGCTGAATATTTATCATGTCCTGCTGGCAGTGTTCCCTTCGGTTAACAATCCTTCTGCTCCTGCATCATACGCATCTCCCAGCTCATGTTAAATTTATTTTTGCCAAGGCAAAAGTCGAGTCATTTGACATTTTGGTTTGCTGGCATTTCTTATCAGTTTTCGGACCCCACCACCACCCAGCACTGCTCGTTGTTTATTCGGTCGGCGGTGGCCTGCTCTAGAGAAGTACCTTGTAAGAGGGAAACTGGAAACTACATATGCCAGTTACATATGGCCCCATATCCATTGCATTTTGTTTCTTTCCCTCACCTCACCTTCCAGCTCTCAGGCTGCCCCTGCTGCCGGTCTACCTGACTAACTAACTGTTTTGCATATTCATTTCATGAAATTTCCAAATTTATTCGATGTCTCATGTGCCAGAAACTTGGCCACAAAGCACCACCCGCACCACCTGCCGCCTCCCATGTCCCACATCCCACGTTTGGGCCCCGCCTCCGCCCATTTCCCATTTTCCCAGGTCAGTCACCTGGGCTGAATTAAAAATTACGCATACGCACACGACACCCACCACCGCCGAACATGTCTCTGGACTTTGGTGACCAAAATTTTGTCATTGGCCTGTGGGTTTTCGTGTCCGCTGCACGGACATGGCAGAATTCCATGTAAAGTACAGGCACTCATCCCCTGTGGAGCGTTCATTTGCCACGCCCCACAATCGATGGCAGGAAATCGCTCGACTGGCCGGTTATCGGACAATATTTAATCATCCGAAGCGGTTGCTACTACACTTTGGGGTTCTTTAATTACAAATGTTACAATGCTACAAATTTTGCAATTTTGTCATTGATGTATAAGGTATTTATGTTCAAATATAAACAGAAGAGACTAGAGCTTTGTAATGTTGCAAGAAGGAGCATTTTTGAAACTGTTTGCTTAAACATTTCAAATCAAAGGTAATAGCTTATCCCATTATTAACAAATACATTAGATAGTGTAGTTGTATCCTTAGAATCCTCAGAATTGAATTCTAATTAAATAAACATTTTGGCATCATTAAATAACAAGTTAACGGCTTAAAACTGTTTAAGCTATGCAGGGGCAGAAACCCCTACCTTTTGTGTGGGTTAACCTCCGTACCCGCTTAACCACACAGAATGGAATGAAGGGGTTAAGCCCAGACAGAGATACAAACATAGATATATTTACACCTCAGCACATGAAAACTTTGCTGATAATTAACCTACACATTTCATTCGAGAAACGGCAAAAGCACACAGACAACGACCAACCCCAAAACTAACTCAACAAAATCCCAACCCACACACAAGAGCCTGAATTCAGAGACGAATTTTTGGGGCAGGACCCAGGCCGTCCAAGTTTTGGTGATAAATTCATTTAGAGATGCCGAGACGAGACATTTATGCAAACATTTTTGCTGTGGCATGTTTTTTTTTAAAAGCTATCTGTGGTTCAGATAGGGAGTAGTTCTTCCTCAACCGCTACATACAATATGTATCCAAAGAATACAATGTTTAAGTAAAGCAGTTTCGGTTATAATAGCATATACTACTCTAGCTAAGAATGTTTATTAGAAGAGAAATTGTTCATAAATTGTATAGTTTTCTTCTAATAATAATAATAATAGTAATTGTTGCAAATAATTCTTGCTCATAAGAAGGGATTTTGTTTGTACACTTTATAAATTCCATTTTATAAATAAGGTTTGATCAAGATTTATAAATAATATACTTGATTGCTGTTTTCTTAGTGTATTCTTGTTCATTTGTCTTTCATGCTCCGCCCATATGCATAAATATTCATTTCATCGGAAGGCTTAAGCTCAGCCACTAAAACCCACAAAGTGGAGAAAAAGAATCTATAAGAGACTGGCAAATACTAAAAGTGTTTTCCCCATTTTAGTTGCAACCAAGTCCACAAATTAATTGGGTGCCGAATGACAGAGGGCGAAAGCGAGAGCGAGTCCAACTGATTTCCAATGTAAATAAACAGGTCCTGGCCATTTGTTATTTGTTATAGTTGCTTTGTGGTCTTCCAGGGCGACATCGTAAATTGGATGTCCCACAATGGACAATATTTAATTCCATTAGGCTGTCCAAATTGTTGTTGTCGGCAAACACTCGAAATATAGAATGAATTGAAAAGTTACAACTCCCCAGCAGAACTTTTCTTGCGACTCCATTCTCTGGCTTTCATTGTGGGGCAATCCTTTGTGCTCGTGTCCTGGATTGCATGGATTCCCTGTTCCCAGCTGCTGCACTCAGGTGTGTGTGTGTGTGGAAAGTGTGTGCGGAAAATGTGTCAGCCACAGTGGGAAAAATCGCAAAATAGGTTAAATGAAACCCTGCATATAGACTTTCACCAATGGTCAGTCAAGAGTATATTCAATTTGTACTTAGCAATGAATTGAGCTAGGTCTCTAAGGGTATAATAGGGACTATATATATAATATATAGTCAATAATATAATATAATACCCAATAAAATGTATGAATTAACTATGAATTATTTGAACTTTTGTGCTAATTAAGCTATAAAAGTGGTGCTGTGGTACCTTAAGAATAATATGAAATATGTTTAGTTTGAGTGCCCGTAATGATTCTTTAATTGATGAATAAAACATGTTTTATTTTGATGAATTTATTTCTTTATAGTTTACATATGTTAAGCTTATTCTCATTTCACCACTAAGAATAAAATTAAACATTACCTCAATTTACTTTCATCGAGCTTTTGAACAAACCCCCAGCACTTGGTAAGTACCAAGTTCGACGTAACCAGGCCAAAGTGAGAACCTGCTCTATCAGCTGCCCTTTTCCAATTTACCAACTGCATTTCCTAAACTTTTCCAGAGCGCCGGCACACATGATGGAATACAATTCCGAGCACTCGTTGGGCGATGAGGGGGAGTAGGGGAGTCAGCCAGCTCATTTAATGCGCTGCAAATTAATTGCCCCATTGCCATTGGCAATTTTAGTGCAGGAGAGGAGGGTGGAATGAGAGCTCGACGAGCGGAAGGGGCACTGCCTTTGGCAGTCTGCCTAATTGCGAACATTTCAAAAATACAATTTAAGTTTAAACTGCACTCAAGATGTGCTGCTGCTGCAAAAGTTGTGCCAGCAGAAATTACCAAATGCCAAAAGGGATGGTAGGAGTGCACTGCAATTGCGTCGGAACAGCCGTTGGAATTATGGCGAAAGTCATTAAAAGAGCCAGGGGCAAAAAGTTTGCCAATATTGATTTGCGGTTGCTGTTCTCGGCAAACACCAATAACAATTAAAATAATAATAATAAACCGATTCCCGGCGAGCGAGCTACAAACAAACTGACAGAGGCTCACATTACGTATACGCCGCGGTGTCCACAAATCCGCGCCACCGCTTCATTAAGCAAACAAATATTGTACTACGCGGAAAAACAAGGAAAAAACATTAAAGCAAATTAAAAACAATGATAATTTCCTCCGTTCCGGAGGAGGGTCACGAAAAAACTTACCAATTAAAAGTGCGACGAAGAGAAACATCAGCCAGCCGTAATCCATTTTTTGTCGTCGTCCTTATTGCTGCTCTTGTTTGAATAAAATTAATTGCTTCCAGTTATTGTTGCTCTTGGCTTTGGCAGTGTCGTTGATTTATGCACTTTATCCCCCTCGAATCGCCACAGATTGGATCCTTTTGTTTCGAGTGCAGTCGAAGGAGTGAGAGAGTATGCGACAGAAACTAGAATCGAACAACCAAGTGGAGGTCAAACGGGTGGCTCAATTAATTGAACACTGTGTCAAAAAGAGACGTACAAAAGGAGGACTCACAGTCCACATCGAGATGGAGATGGCGCAACGGAAAATAAGAATATAAATAAATAAACTAAGCGACAAACTCATGCAGAAAAGTTCAAAGGATACGCTCTGTCAGTGTCGTTATAAATAAATAACAAACATTAGAGACGCGCAGAGAAAAAGGAAAAGTCCAAGGAGTTTGGAGCAAGGAAGTACACAGAGAAAAGGAAACAAAATGTCACCATTATAAAGGATTTAGCTAGTTTTTTTTTATTTTGCATAAAAGTTCCATGTAAATCTGGTTTTCTCTTTATAAATATTGTTCTTCATATCAAACAAAAAACAAGTTATTACAAATTATTTGTTACGGATCAAAAACATTTATAAAGTACTTATGATATATAATCATTATGATTTAAACAAAGTATTAAGGATACATCATATTATTTAAATATAAAAATTCATATATTTTGGGTATATTTCAGTATTCTCTCTATATTTCCCTGTGTACGAACTCGCATGAAAGGGAAAACAGGGGAAAAAACGTAAAGAACAAGGACATGTGGGCGTGGCAGACGCCCTGGCATCCTGTTTTTTGAGAATGTACATGTGCTTCTGTGTGCGTTTGTCAACTTAAATAATTTAAATGCCAAATTCAAACGAATCCATGTGTTTAATATTTGAATAAGCCTTCCGCCGACCCCAGCCACGCCCCCATTCGCTTGGGACCTTGTGTACCTCAGTACCTTTTCTCTTGTATTTTGTATTTTGTTTTTTTTTTTTTATTTTGGTTACACGTTCACGTTATTTTTGTCTCGGTTGTTCTTGTCAATTTCGGTTTTGCCGGAGTTAACATTAAACTAAAATTGAGGCACTCGACGGAAGCGGAAGTTGCCAGTCCAGTGCAATTTAAACTTGTTTCGTTTGTTTTATTTCTTCCTCTTTATATTCAGGTTGATTCAAAAGTACTTTCGGAACTTTTGCCTCATTCTTTTCACTGAGTATTTTGGTTAACTGGAATTTTATTGACTGCCCGCTTTAAGTAATTGACCTTTCGCAAGGGAAACGGAAACTGGTCCTTACTGCGGTCCTCAGGGTTTCATGTTCGCCTCCCGCACCGATAAACAATTTCGATTTACATTACATTAATTGCTAATCGGCGTTTTTGTATGATTTCTAATTTATTTTTCTTTTTTTTTATTATTTAGAAATCGGTCGGCCACAGAGGAACACTGTAAAAAAGTATCTCCGCGCGGCTTCAGGCTTACGAGCTGACTGAAGCTGTGGATTCGTGACTCGGATTCGTGAGTTCAACTTCACGGATGCCACCGCGGTCGGCGTCGCTGCCACTGCCAGAGGACTTCGGGAGCGGCTGTCGTGTAATACCGTACGCTCAGCCTCTGGGCGCGCGCTCGTGTCTTCGGGATGCTCGGTTACACGACAGCTGAGCCTGTAATGGCGGTCCATGAGAGCCGGTGAACCGAAGAGAGCCGAAGAGAGTTGAACGGTAATTTGTAGCTTTGTCGCTCATCCTGCTATCAGTGGTGCGTTCTGTTATGCTTAACAGGACTGATAATAACATCCTTTGCATTTCTGTTTCTGTTATTCCATAGATTAACTTTGTTATGTACATAAGCCCTAGGTCCTGTTATTGTTTTTGAAAATTGTAATTGTAAACATAGAGATACCTTTTAGAATAAATTTTATATACACAACCCATCATATAACCAGATATATTTTCACCCAAAATTCAATTACTATAGTTAGATTTTCCAATTATTTTCAAAAAATGGTTTAATTTAATTTGGTTGACTTTCAAATAATATTTATTAAGGGTTCCCCTATTGCAGCCTTACATAGGCTTTCAATTAAAAGTTACTTATATTTTAGATTTAATTAGAAACTAAATTATTGGCTTCTGGTTTTCTCCTCGTGCTGGTGCAGTTTATTTCCAACACTTTTTAACATATTCATTGGACCCGGCCAATAGTGCAAGTCCGGCCAAAAGTTTCCTTTAAAATCCAAAACACCTTACCGCTCTTGTTTTTGCTGGTGATGTGCGAGTTTTATGGTTAACGGATATCCTTGGTAGTTAAATGCAGACAACAAAACGGAGGAGGAGTCCGGGGCAAAGTCCGTGTTGCAGCTGCATGTAAAAATATTACGTGCAAGGGGGTTCTTTTTCCACCAAGGCTGCTGAGGCTGGGGTTGGAGCTGGAATGGTGGGCGCTTTGCGGATGCTTAGTGGGTGGATGGGATTCGGGGGCGAATGACGACGACGACGACGACGGCAGCACAAAGTCATCTTATCATTTCATGAATAATGCAGGGATTTGTTAGGGACACATGACTGGAATTTTACGCAAAAGTTGTGATGATGTTGCCGCTGCTGCCGCTTTTGCAGCTCCTGATGCTCCTGCTGCTGCTGCTTTTTCTTTTGCCAACCGCCAACACTTTGAGGTTGTTGCTATTGTGGCTATGTTTGTTGCTGCTGCTATATGGGTTACTATATAACTGCAGTCTGCTGGGTGCGGCAATCAACAGAAAATTGCAGATTTTAAATTCAAAGCATTTTGCCCGTCGTCCCTGTTAAGCTTCACACCCTCGATCCTCCTCCCTTCCAACGCTGTAACTTAATTCTAACGAATAATTTCTGATGCCCGAATATGAATATTAAAACTAAAGCAACGTGTGCCCTAGCATATGCCACACTTTCTTTCGCTGTAAATGGCGTTTCCGGTTCCGGTTTTCTCGCAGCTACCTGCTCCTATCTGCCAGCTATTTATTTTATGCGAATTTCGCTCGTCTCCGTTTTCAAGTCACGTGACAACTCAAACTTTGTGCCATGAAACAGAAACACAAAAAAAAAGCAGAGAACATAGAAAAAAGGTATGGCGAAAAACTTGCCAAAAATACACGAGCTTCAGCTGGGTAAAAAATTGCAACTTCTTTCACGCTGCACTCACTTACACACACGCTGGGATCGGGATCCGTCTGCTGGGTTTAAGCAGAGGGTGGGAATAAAAAAAGTTTCCTGCAAATAAATCAGGAATTTTAAAAATTCATAACTTTAAGTTTGCTTTATGAGTTTTGTTTATAACGTGTAACCACACTGCGTATGCGTAATGCCTGCAGTGTGTTCGCTCGAGAAGCAGACTCCGAAACTTGTTGTGGTTGCCACACCAAAGGTTATCCATAATTAATCAGATACGCCAAGGTATCTAGAATTACTCCCTAAAGAAATATTTTTTATTTTAAAGGTTTGTTTTTTGATCCTAATATGTCATATAACAAAATATTTGTTTGTCATTTAGCGTTTTATATTTTCACTTGAATTTACATATAAATACAAAGCAACAAAACTTATGCTATATTGCCATTCAAAGAATTTTTAGTTTACTTCCTTTAGAATTTTCGCTTGGGTCACTTTTGCGGTTCAATATTGGCCAATTTTTGGTTTGACCTCAGAGATGTGTTGGAAATTCGAAGAATTTTATAAAATAAATTGATAAATATTTGCATATTCAAAGCTTATCTTTTGGCAGCTCATTCCAAAGGTGAAGCCTGACCAAGACAGGCTTCGATCCCATCGAAGGTTAGGTTTTTCTAGGGCCACTTTCATTTCCCCCAAACTCCAATCGCATTGACACACTTTTCGTTCTTAACTTATCTAAGATGCCGGCAATCAAGGCGCCGTCATATTTGGCCGCAATTTCTTGGTACATCCTGGGAAACCATTTCCCTGGCTGCTGTGCCAGGCACTCAGCGAAAAACGATTATCGGAACCTTTAAAAATACATATTATATATTTGAGATACAAAATAAGATTTTTTTCTGTAAGCATTTTTGTTTTTATTTACTTGTTTTTATCGGTAAATAGTTTGTATGTATTGCTTTATCTAATTATACATTTTTGTATCCGTAACATGGCAGACACCTCTTTCATAAATTTATAAATAAATAGTAGAATCTTCTTACAATATTCGAAATTCCGCAGTCTACTTATTTTTGTTTCAGTGTTTATATGCATTTTTATACAGTTACCTTAATGAAAAACTAAATTGTCAATCAGCCATGAATTGAATTAAATGAAGTGTAAAATTACAATTTCATCCAATTTGCAATTAACTCAACGAGAAGATGGCAAAAGAGGAGAATCTCCTTTTTTTCCAATTTCAAATTATTCCATTGGAACGCACATGCAGCTGGACGTCGAAGGGGTTTCCATCTATCCATGTATCTGTAAGTTTGTATCTGTATCTGCGCGATGGTTGTTTACAGAGTCTCCGCCCGATACAATGCACACATTAAGCCCGTAAGAAAATAAAAAAAAAGCAACAATAAGGAGAAAAAATCGATTTCCCAGCTTACGTAGGATGTACTGACAATGTTTTTACTAAACCTTTTTAGGCATTGGGTTCACTATTCAAAGGGCTTACTGTATCTCTGGGACTTTCACTCCTTTAGCCCCCCTTTGCGGTGTCGGAAAACGCTGACATCGTTTTGAGGACGCTTGAAGCGCGGACAGGGCGCGGCTAGTTTGGCACTTTTCTTACCTGGAAAAGTGCAAGTTTAATTGCATTGAGTGTAACTAGTTAATGGCTGAAATTGCAAATTGAAATGGTGACAAAGTAATTGAGGTCAGGAAACTCCCCGCGGAGTCGTCGGATCGAGCGCTAATTACAAAACGGACATCGCAGCTGCCAATGGGGTCGCTTGGCAGCTCTTCCGTGCGCCGCTTCGCTTTTCGTTTCATTTTCCAGCAATATCGGAAAATATGCAACAGCAATTTCCACTACAACTGCAACGGTAACGGCAACGCTAACGGTCACGACAACAACAGCAGCTGCCAAAGTTGTGCGGAATGTCAAAGTTTTCCCGCCACTGCCTCGCTCTTGCACTCTAAAAACATTTACAAATTGATTTTTGCGGCGGCTGTCATGTTCGAAAAATGTATATTTTTTGGCATATAAATGGCTATTCACAAAGCCGCAACGGGACTTACGCATATCCGAATAGCGAACGCAACCTGATGTATTT